CATTTGCATGATGCCATCAACATGCAATGTGGACATATTGCTATAATGAAGTTTTGAAAGCTATTTCTGCAGTCATCTTCCTTTGCTGCTACGATGCCCTACTTCATTATCACTTATCACTATACCAAACATTGGTTCACATCTTGTTGTTGAATTATTCAACTTTTTGAGTTATATCCCTATTGGAAAAAATCAAACTATACGAAGAAAATATTTAAAAAAAGTTTGCACATTCCCACATCATTGTCATAGGTATCGGAAGATTCCATTTGGGGTTGAGCAAGTTACTACGAAATGGGAAAATATGGAAACATAAAGCCTTGAGGATTTTGTTTTTGTTTTCCCTCTTGATTTATTACGCACAAGTTGTCATTCTTTTCCGCTCAAGTAAAGATGCTATAGTGATTAAAATATTTGTTCATAGATATTCCATCTTTTGAAACATATTCAACTCGGAATTATATTGATTGATAACGTTAATATATATCGGGTGTAGTACAATTTAAAAAATAATTCTTTTATATTATTAAAAAGATAGTGTTTGTCCGTGTTATGATGTTTCCCCTATCCAGATGAGGTGCACGAACGTTATACACACTGCCGGGTTAATCAATTAATTCAATTAATTGTGGTGCATGAGAAATCATTAAAAGATAGAACGCAGAACTAAAAGACAGTGCCGGTTTTTTTTTTTTTTCCCCTAAAAAAAAAAAAGTTTGACAATGACTTTAGTTAAAGCTATGTATAAATGAAACTTTTTAGTACGTACTATAATGCAACCAATCTATTATATATATATATATATATATATATATATATTAAAACAGAGTTCTTAATCGACACGTGTCGCCGAGGGAGCAAATTTAGCTAATTGCGTCACGTGTCATCACCAAAATTCTCCTTCATTAAATAGTTAAAAGTTTATTACTAATACGTAAAATTATTAAATTGAATTGAATAATTAACCAAAAGTTAATTTCGAAAAAGTAAATATCACATGTTTGGTAATTATTGACAAATATATGGCATAATGAAACATTAATTATCAAATTAATAATTGTATTAATAATACAGCTTGAAACTAAGTCTAGATACATTAAACGTAAGTTAATATTATTTTTCAGATGATTTTATTTGATATATTTTCCAAAAATTAAAAGATATTAGTTACCAAAAAAAAAATGTTACCAATAACTATAAAACGAATACAATTCAAAATCAAGTCTGCCTACATTAAACTTATATTAATATTATTTTTTAGATGATTAGTATATTTTTTCCATAAATAAAAGAGACTATTTACCAAAATAAAGAGATTATTTACCAAATAATTAAACGAATACAATTCAGAATTAAGTGATTACATTAAACATAGGTTAATAATATTTTTCTGGTGTTTCTATTTGATATCTTTTCCAAAATTATAGATATATTATTTACCAAAACCAAAAAATATAATCCCTCTGTCCTATAATTATTGTCCAGTTTGAGATTTCATTTTTAGTACGATTTGAACTAGAAATAAAAACCCAAACTGGACAATAATTATGGGACGGAGGGAGTATTAGTTACCAAATAATTATACTACGAATACAATTCGAAACCAAGTCTAAATAAATAAAACGTAGGTCCATATTAATTTTTAGATTATTCCATTTGATATATTTTTCAAAAATAAAAATAGATTACTAAATAATTATACTACAAATACAATTTGTAACCAAGTCTGTATACATGCAACATAGGTTAATATTATTTTACAGATGATTCCATTGAATATATTTTCAAAAATAAAAAGAGAATAATTTAAAAAAATAAAAAGAGATTACTTACCAAATAATTATATTATAAATACAATTTAATATCAAGTCTAGATACATTAAATATAAATTAATATAATTTCTCAAATGATTTTATTTGATACATTTTCAAAAATAAAAAAGATGAATTACTTACCAAAAATAAAGAGATTAGTTACCGAATCATTATATTAGGAATACAAAAACTAAATATAGATACATTAAATGTATGTTAGTATTATTTTAGATGGTTCTATTTGATATGTTTTTCAAAAAAAAAAAATAGTTACAAAAAATATAAAGATTAGTTACCAAATCGCCATATTACGAATACAATTCAAAATCAAATCTTGATACATTAAACATATGCTAATATTATTTTTCAAATAATTCCATATGATATATTTTTCAAAAATAAAAAGAGTTTGGTTACAAAAAATAAAAAGATATTAGTTAGCAAATAATTATACTACGTATGTATACAATTAGAACCAAATCCATATTTAAACATCGATTAACATTATTTTTCATCATTCCATTTGAGATATTTTTCAAAAGTAAAAGATATTACTTACCAAATATTATATTATGAATATAATTCGAAGCAAATCTAGGTATATTAAACGTAGGTTAATATTATTTCTCAGATGATTTTATTTGATATTTTTTTTTAAAAAAAAGATTAGTTATCAAAAATAAAAGAGATTTAGTTATCAAATTATTATGTTATGAATACAATTTGAAATTATGTCCGAACACATTAAATGTAGGTTATTATTATTTTTTTAGGTGATTCCATTTGATGTATTTTTGAAAAACAAAAAGATTTGGATGACCAAAAATAAAAAAGATCAGTACCAAATAATTTACTTAAAATACAATTTAAAACCAGATATGGACACATTAAACGTAAGTTAATATTATTTTTTTTCTCATAATTCCATATAGCATATTTTTCAAAAATAAAAAAAAGATTAGTCACTAAAAAAATAATAAAGAGGTTACGTTCTAATTCTCCTCTCTTTTTCTTCCCTTCCGTCCTCTATCTCTTCCCCTTCCCTCCTCCCCTTCTATCTGAATTTCCTTTTTTTGTCTCAAAGTTATACACTGACCTTTCTCTTTGTTGAGTTGTAATGTTAGATGGATGTTTTTCATTTATTAGTAAAAAAGGGAGTGTGATGGATTTCGATTGAAATGGTAAGTTATACTTTTAATATTATTAACTCAATGTTTAGAGTAATTGTTAGAATTTCGCTTGATTTATTAATTTTGCATATATTGACTGAAGGTTCGTTAACTTATTCCAGTGTGGATGCTTGTGGACGACTTTTCATCTGATTTTTTATTAACAATGAGAAGCGTGGTTGTTAATTATAAAAGGTTCATTAATAAAAAAAAACCTACATGATTTCTTCCCTTTGTTTTAAACTGTTAACTCATCATGTTTTTCTTGCATTTTAAGCTTTGACATTATAAGGAAAAATTTGGTACTACTGACATACCTTTTCTTTTCAATAGGGGAGGCATTATTTTTTAAACATGTATTACATTTTCCATGTTAAGGATTATTTATATTATATGTCATTGGCAAATATTTATAAGTATGGGCAGTTTTATTTTTATACAATCACGAGGGCCTCATTTTGGTATGCTTTTGTACCGTTGCTATTATTAAATTTCAATGGGTTGAGGTTAAAAATAGTTATGCATCAATCTTGCTCTAAAGGAGCCCGACAGACTAAAACAAAATTGCTCATGCTCTAGATTCTCAAGGTAAATATATATTTTATTTGAGATATCAATAGTTAAACATATTTACTTTAAGTACATAATAATCTATGTGTTTTGGTTTTACAAGAGAAGTGTGGCACAATGATGGCAAAAGATTGAAATAAGTACCTCGAAAAGCACTCATAACTAAGGAAAAAGTTTGACGAACATGGATATGTATTTCGAAATTATTTATTAGTTTTTTTTTAAAGGTTTTTTCCCCCTATTTTTGTGTTTTATTTACTTTTGTTGGAATTTTTTTTCCATTTTGTTTTATGCCTAAAAAAGATTATTTATAATATTTGATTCAATTATTACAAGTAAACAATATATGCGTTTCACTCAATATATTTTTAGAATATACATGATTTAATTTATATTGTTGAAAATAACTTTTATATACTTATATCCTTAAACAAGTAACGTAATAGACAGTTGATCATATTAATTCATATTTAATATTTTATATATATATATATATATTAATATTCTTAAACAAGAAGCATATTAGATAGTTGGAACATATTAATTTGTACTTTAAAAAACCCATAATACAAGTACTTGATTAAAGTGGTAATAATTAAATCTGCGCAAGGGCATGTAATAATGATTGTTGGGAGATGTTTGTCTTCCGAAAGTGACCTTCCGGATTCGAAGATGGATTAGTTGGAATAATGACTTCGAACACTGGATGCGCTATATACAAAAAACGGAAGGGAAAAAAAACATATGTTGATTTCGGACTCCGAGTGCTCACTATACCAAAAAATAAAAAAAATAAAACATATGAAATTTTTTTATAAAAAAAATAATATATTAACGTTACTCTAAAATATATTAAAATCCGCACAATGTACGGGCATAATACTAATATCTAAAAAGTGCAAACATTTCCTCAATAAATTCGAATTTGAACCACATAAATAAACCTCTTATTATGTTCTAGTGTTTACATTGATAACATAGCCGTGAATTAAAGAGCATCTTAGATACGATATCGGCTAGCTGTATTATATGAGATTTTAATCAACTAAAGGTTGCTTGAAATTTCAAAAAAAAAAAAAAAAGTTAGAAAAAGGTTGCGCCCAAGTTCAAGTTGTAGTGTGAATTTTCTACAAGGAAAGATCAACCTTATAGTACTAATTTTACATTTCAAAGTAAACTACTCATCATGTATACAAAACCAATCTAAAAACCTCAATTAAAATATCAGACTTGACCTTTTCGCACTATATTAGTCGAACAAACACTACTCCCTTCTGACAAGTGACGAAAGTAGACCAAAATTTTTCGTGTTCCATTTCTCAAACATTTTAGTATCAGATTTTGATCTTTGTCCCAAATTTCCCCCCTAATTTCATCAAGTCATGAACATTAATACGCTGAAAATCTCGTTCTCAAAAGAAGAAAATTGTACTCCGTAACAAATAACACGTGTCGTTTTTTTTTTCCCTTTTTCCCCATTGCATAAAACAGAGCAGGTACGATATTACACAAATAATACAACACTTATACCAAATTAGTCGAACAGTAATTTCAGACAACATAAACAGGATTATAGTGCTAATAATAGTGATTAGGTACCCTTAATACGTGCTGTCAGCAAGAAACGGTGTCCAGCCAAGATTCTTTCGAAGATTCATCCATCTTTTTTTTGATTCCTCGGAAGTCAGCTCTCTGACCGAAGAAACACAAAAATAAAAACAGCCAGCCAAGCACCAGCCCACCATTCTCCATTTTCGCTCCCCCAAAACCGCCATGCATGTGTCAATTTTCCTGATCTGTAAATCGTTATAATGGGCATAGAATAGAAGAAACTGTAAACTCTGTTTTTCTGCATTCAATTAAATTCTTTTAGCACTTCGAGGCCAATTTGGAAAAGAAAAAAGAAAAAAAAACACGCACTCACACTGTGATAAAGACAACCATCTTTTAGGATTTCCCCAACCCTTCTGGTCAAATCTCCCTCCACTCCCCCCACCTTTAAATACTGCCATTTCCCTGATTTTTCATTCCATCCATAATCAGAAGGGAGAAAGAAAAAAATTTTTGTCCAAAAAGTATGGATCGTTCCCTCAGTAAGAACAGGGGTGACCCAATTTCTGCAGCCGACGAAAATGGCGTCTCTGAGTCTCGGGAAGCCTTCCACGACAACGATACTTCCCGATACAAGAAATCAGATGGGGAGGAAGACGAAATCGTATCTGTGGAGAAACAATTTGAGTCCCAAGAGGTGCCGCCATGGCAGAACCAGCTTACAGTCAGGGCTTTTGTGGTCAGCTTTGCTTTGGGAATTATGTTCACCTTCATTGTTATGAAGCTGAATCTCACAACTGGGATCATTCCCTCGCTCAATGTCTCTGCCGGGTTATTGGGTTTCTTCTTTGTGAAGACATGGACAAAGTTTCTTGAGAAATCTGGGCTATTGAGGCAGCCATTCACCAGACAAGAAAACACCGTCATCCAGACATGCGTCGTTGCCACCTCCGGCATAGCTTTCAGCGGTAAATAATCCTAAGTCTTGCTTTCTTATGCATTATTATTCCGTTATCTGTTTTCATTTTCTGTTATTATGTGATTTGCCCGGAATAACTGCAATTATGGTTGGATTTGTTGAGCAAAAAATGGAGGGCTGCAAGAAGAATTTTTGTAAATAAGAAACAGAGTCTGATGTTAAAGTTCAGGTCTTTTTCATTAATTTCGCAAGAGTAATCATAATATCTTCTCGTCCTGGTGGGTGGGTGGGTGGGGTTCGCCAAGACTCTAGATTTTAATCCCTAAAATCAGGCGTGCCATAATCAGTGGAATTTTTAAAGCTATATGGACCATAAGGATACTTTTGAAGTTTTGATTTACAGTCTTGAAATAGATTAGACTATTGATGGTGGGTGGGGCTAAAACTCATCAAATCTTGTTCTTGAGAGACTTTCCATCTGGAGTTCTTGCTTCTTTTCACCTAAAAATTAAAGTAAATCAAAGGAAAATAAAGAAAGAGAGGAGAATTGTAAGTAGTACTACTATTTTGAAGCGGCAGAGTTATCACGTCTAATTTAATGTGGAACTATGGAGATGTAAATTCAACCAGTAAATGTCAAGGATACAGTTAGATACACCTGTTGTGTCTTTATTGCAATTCTATTCTGCCATCACGGAATATTGCCTCAAAAGTGTCCTTTTCTTGTTTGATTTTGACGGAAGTGAAAAAAAACTTTAGTGCTCTCTTCACAAGTGTCTTGTTTTGTAGATTCACCCAAAAAACTATGTAGATTCATCAGAGGTGTATATATACCTCTATAAAGTTTAAGGTTGACCAGTCTCTTAAAGATGTCAACCAAAAAGGAAAGATGATTAACAAAGCAAATTTACCAATTAAAAAACAGTAGATAACTTTAATGAACATGTATGCTGATTCCCTACTCCATAGAGTTGCTTTTTGCGTGATGCTTATCTAATGTTTTGACTTTATCAGGAAGGATGAATTTTATAACTATTGAACACTTTAAAGTGTAATGATACCTCCAACTGGGAAAGATCTCCTAGAAAGATGCATCCAAAAACACATCCTTCTTTGTTGCTTGTGGTCGTAAGTTTGAGAATTTTTTGCTTAGTTCACATGCTTTGTAAACTTGCCATAAATTTGGGCAGTTTGGAAAGTATGACTTTCAGGTCTAATTTGTTCACAAGTTTCAACCTTGCCTGGCCTTATCCAATAGTCTTTTTGCAAGTTCATGGAGTGTTTGGTCAATAGTTTATCGCCCTCAAATGAGGTGTTTGGCCAATAGAATGTTTACTCATGGTGGGCCAGACAGATTAATGCAGATGACTAAATTTGCGTGGCTTCATTAACAAAGCCTTGACATATCTTTTTTTTTTAATAAAAAAAAGATTAAAGAGTAAAGCTTTGACTATGATAATAATGCAATTCTCCTAGTTACATGTCAATAGTAAATCAAGAGCTCAACAGTTGACGTTGGAAGTTGATAATGATGGGAAAATATGAGATATGAAACTTGGTTGGTTTGCTTTGTCTCTTTATGGATGTATAAAAATTGTCAAGCTACTCAGTCATACTGCCTCATAAGTCATATCTATGTATGGAAAAGTCAAAGGTGTACAAGAAATGACGAAATAAAAACAGTTCCATCAGATTTTGAGCAAAAGATCCTCTTCTGAATGCGTAAGCTGTAGGATTATCGTCCACTAGGCAAGTTCTCGAAAGTTGAATAATCAGAAAGTGAGGATTTTACTCAGGAGTGTTAATATGCTATAGTAGAATTCAAGCCTTGATAAATTACGTACCAGGAAAGGATCTGTAGAAGTTAACTTGTACTTCAGGAAATTGACAGTTCCCTGTGTTGCATCCCTACTGTGATGATAAAGGAGTTATGATGATTGTTTCCGTGTTTAAATTGTGGCTGGACTGCTTTTCTGGAAATCGGGTTCATTATAAAGATTAACCTAAGATGTTTTCTAACTGAAACACCTGAACAATGTAAGGAAACTAAAAAGCTACCAATTTTTCTGTTCCTGAACTACTTGTTCTTAGCCATTATTCACGTCCCATTTTCCCTAATTCAGGAGGTTTCGGCAGCTACCTTTTTGGCATGAGCGAACTTGTTGCCAAACAGTCAGGTGATGATAGCTCTGCAAGGGATGTCAAGAACCCATCACTCGGATGGATGTTTGGTTTTCTCTTTCTTGTCAGCTTTCTTGGGCTGTTCTCAGTAGTACCCTTGAGGAAGGTATCTTTACTTCTTTCTGAGGAGAAAATTTAACTGATATGCAAGTTCACGTTTTCCATTTTTCCTTTTGAGATATTGGAAAATGATCAAAGCCTTCCACTGTTAATTTTGCATTTACATTCCTTTTTCGTGGAATTGAATATTTAATTGTCTTAGTGCTGTGCTTAATTGTTTGTTTGTTCATTTATCATATTAGATCATGATCATAGACTTCAAGCTGACTTATCCTAGTGGAACTGCAACAGCTCATCTTATCAATAGTTTCCATACTCCAGCAGGAGCCAAGCTGGCTAAGTAAGAAAATTAGCAAAAAAATTTCTTCCTCTAAACTTTGTGCACTTGCTGTGATGCTTATATGCTGTTTCACTCCAGGAAACAAGTGAGGGCTCTAGGAAAATTCTTCTCCTTCAGCTTTCTTTGGGGTTTCTTCCAATGGTTCTTCACTGCAGGTGATGGCTGCGGCTTTGTGAACTTCCCCACATTTGGCTTGAAAGCTTTTGAAAACAGGTATGAGCTTGACCTAGTTCCAGTCTACTGGTCAAGTTATTTGTTGCATACCTTTGTTGACAAATTCTGCCAAGACAGGTTTAGTTTTGTTTTCACCAAGGACGCTTTACTGCTTAGTAATGTTTCTTTTGTCTTCTTTTTGGGTCCAGGTTTTACTTTGATTTCTCTGCAACATATGTTGGTGTTGGGATGATATGTCCATATCTTATCAACATCTCTGTGCTTGTTGGAGCAATCCTTTCCTGGGGTGTAATGTGGCCTCTTATTCAGGATAGAAAGGGAGACTGGTATCCTGCAACAGAAAAAGAGAGCAGCCTTCATGGCTTGCAAGGTTACAGGGTAATTTTCTAACTCATTTCCGTGAGAAGTATTCCAAGGCTAATTAGCACTCTTGTAACTGTTGGCTTATTTTTCCCCTTTATAGGTCTTCATTGCCATTGCGATGATTCTTGGTGACGGGCTATACAACTTTGTCAAAGTCCTTGGGCGCACTTTATTTGCTTTGTATCACCAATTCGGTAAAGATGCTGGAGCAGTCCTCCCTGTTGGTGGTCCAAGCTCTCCAGAAAAACTATCAAAGTCCTATGATGATGAACGTCGAACCAAGTTGTTTCTCAAGGATCAAATCCCATTATGGGTTGCTATTACTGGCTATGTTGCCATTGCCATCATTTCCATCATAACTCTCCCACATATCTTCCACCAGCTTAAGTGGTACCACATTCTCGTCATTTATATATTAGCTCCTGTACTAGCCTTCTGTAATGCCTATGGGTGTGGGCTTACTGACTGGTCCTTGGCATCAACCTATGGAAAGCTGGCAATCTTCACAATAGGAGCATGGGCAGGTGCATCTCATGGTGGTGTTCTTGCAGGGTTAGCTGCCTGTGGCGTCATGATGAACATTGTTTCCACGGCATCAGACCTGACGCAGGACTTCAAAACTGGCTATATGACCCTTGCTTCCCCACGCTCCATGTTTATTAGCCAGATCATCGGAACAGCTATGGGTTGTATCATATCTCCTTGTGTGTTCTGGCTCTTCTACAAGGCCTTCCATGATTTGGGAGTCCCTGGGTCACAGTATCCAGCACCTTATGCTCTGGTATATCGTAACATGGCAATCTTGGGAGTTGAAGGATTCAGCGCGTTGCCAAAGAACTGCCTCACTCTTTGCTATGTGTTCTTCATTGGAGCAATCGTTTTCAATGGCATCCGGGACTTGGTGGGAAAGAAGTATGCCCAGTTTCTTCCTATTCCAATGGCAATGGCCATACCATTCTATCTGGGATCATACTTTGCAATTGATATGTGCGTTGGGAGCTTGATTCTATTCATCTGGCAAAAGAGAAACAAGGCCAAGGCTGATGCTTTTGGACCTGCTGTAGCTTCTGGATTGATTTGTGGAGATGGCATCTGGACCCTACCCAGTTCAATCCTAGCGTTGGCTGGTGTTAATCCTCCCATTTGCATGAAGTTTCTGTCAAGGTCGGTCAATAACAAGGTCGACGGATTCTTAAACCCCTCTTGATCCTCGAGTTGGGCACAACATACATAGTTTGATTGGGCATACTAAATGAAAAACTCATGCAGTGTCTTTCTGTGTTCTTATTCAGTCGAATGTAAGTGCTTCATCAGCTTATAAAGGTCTAATTGTATATAAACTAAATACGGAATCCTAGACTGTTAAATTTTAGGATTTGACAGGAAATCAATGATTGGTTATTGTGCCTTATTTAACTTTCGTAGCATTTTCGACATGAATGTTTGCTTGTGAGATTTTCCAGATGTTAAACTTTAGAATGGCATAAAGCTCAAACGCCAAGAAGAACATCTTGCGTAAATCAAAACTGATGGGAAAAGAAAAACAGTGACTCGAGTAATTTATCCTGATATTTCAAAACGAAAAAGGGGACATCGTCCTGTTGCATATGCTCGAGTTATCTATCTAAACAGGAACTGATCTTCTACAGATTGTACAACTTACAGAAATCATATACAAGTGTGTACACCTACGGAATACTAGTTCGTTCTTAAGCCTCAATCAACTCGCGTACTGACTTTTTAACAAGATTATTTGAAGGGATGTCAGTATACTCTGTGAGTAAGGCCCTGAACTCATCACCTGTCATGGTTTCCGTCTCTAGCAACACCTCAACTATTTTATCCATGGCGTCCCTGTTGTTCCTTATGTGATCCTTTGCAACTTCATACGCTTTCCCAACAATTTGCCGAACTGTTTCATCAATATCTTCAGCAAGTTTTTCTGACATGTTGTTTCTTGCCATCATCCTCAGCACCACATCGCCGCTTTGCACAGCAGGATCAGTCAGTGACCATGGGCCGATCTCAGACATGCCGTACGTTGTCACCATCTGTGTAATAAAACAGTATTAGTTCACTTAATGTCATTGTTTTGTGATATTCTCATTCTACTATAATACGAGTACTAGGTTTGAAAAATTACCTGTCTGGCTATTTGAGTTATCTGATACAAATCCCCCGCAGCACCTGTGGTGATTTCGGGTTCACCAAAGATCAACTCCTCAGCTGCCCTACCCCCAAGACCTGCAACAATCCTAGCAAAGAGCTGTTGTTTTGAGATTAATGTGGGATCTTCGCCAGGAAGGAACCATGTTAGGCCGCGGGCTTGACCACGAGGGATCAATGTCACCTTCTGTACTGGATCATGTCCGGGTGTCAAAGTCCTGAAAATTTAACAAAGCGACAAATGTTAAACTCATGTAATTAAGTGACATTTAGAGAGAATTTTGCTAGCTTGACTAAACAGTTTGAAGAAAATCGAAAATTAGTGGACTTACGCGCAGATTGCATGCCCTACTTCATGATAGGCCACCAAAGTCTTGTTCTTCCCATCTGTCATCTTGGTTCCTTCCATTCCGGCTATAATTCGATCTATTGAATCATCAATCTCCTTCAATGTTATCTTATCTTTACCTCTTCGACCAGCAAGAATTGCAGCTTCATTCATGAGGTTTGCTAAATCTGCACCACTAAATCCTGGAGTTCTCATAGCAATGACACTCAAAGAAACATCTTTATCCAGCTTCTTATTGTTGCTATGCACCTTCAGTATATCTTCTCTCCCTTTTACATCAGGAAGGCCAACAGCAACCTGTTAAAAACACATAGAATATACAAATGCAAATTGATATTTGCTTGTTGAGCGACACGAAATGAGTTGTTAGAATCATTGTGCTTACCTGTCTGTCGAATCGTCCAGGCCTAAGAAGAGCTTGATCAAGAACATCGGGCCGATTAGTGGCAGCAAGGACTATAACTCCAGTATTTCCAGTAAAACCATCCATTTCTGTCAGCAGCTGGTTAAGTGTTTGCTCTCTTTCATCATTTCCTCCACCAATACCGGTTCCTCTCTGCCTACCAACAGCATCAATCTCATCAATGAACACCAAACATGGAGAATTGGCTTTGGCCTTGTTGAATAGATCCCTCACTCTTGAAGCTCCAACTCCCACAAACATCTCAATGAACTCTGAACCTGAAAGATTAAAGAATGGAACCCCTGCTTCTCCCGCAATTGCTTTAGCTAGCAATGTCTTTCCAGTTCCTGGAGGTCCAATTAACAGAACCCCTTTTGGAATTCTTGCCCCTACTGCGGCGAATTTCTCTGGAGTCTTCAAGAACTCAACAATTTCTTGAAAATCTTGCTTGGCTTCATCAACTCCAGCCACATCATCAAAAGTTACTCCAGTGTTAGGCTCCATCTGGAATTTAGCTTTGCTCCTACAGAAAAATCACATGAGTTCAGATTCAGATATCAGAACCATCAATTCTGTGATATCAAAAAAGCACATGATAAGAGTATGATTATGATCAACATACCTTCCTAGTCCAAAAGGCAAGTTTGGCCCTCCAGGTGCATTTGGAGATGAATTTCTTAATAGTAATGAACCTAGTAACAACAATGGAAAAGCCAAATTTCCTAGCAAGTCCAGGATAGCATTTGTTACATTGGGTTCAATTGGATGAGCTGCAAAATCAATATTCTTCTCTCTGAGTTTCCTCAACAGTTCTGGTGGCAATCCAGGCAGTTGAACTCTAACTCTCTGGTTCTTCTCCAGAGCAGGATTGTATATCTCAGCAATGGCAACAGTTCCATTCTCAAACAAATCCACCTTCTTAACATTCCCCTGATCCAAGTACTCCAAAAATCTGGAATATGACAGCCTGCTTGAAGCAACTTCCATTGGGCTCTCTGGAACAGCAGCCCTTGCTGGCGACTGAATCAGAGTTGATCCCCCAAGAACGCTTACACCAGTGACATTCAACAGTTCTCGCCGGTTGAGTTTGATCTTGTCTGTTGATGTTCTTTGATTTGAAGCATCTCTGCTGAAGCTTCTGCTGATCTGGGCACACTCCTTTTGTTGATCTTGGCACTTGCAAATAGGATATTGAGAAACAGACAAAGATAAAGCAGGAGCCATTTTTTTTTTTTTTTGTTTCTACAGAAGTTTATGCTAAAGGGTAATCAAAAACTTTTCTAACAGGATTATGAGAAAGCAGAATCAAGGTTCTTCTTCTTCTTCTGGGTTTGTTTATCTTCTTTCTTTTTGCAGCTGATGGCGGTTGGACAATTTGGAGGGAAGGGTAGTTGGCAATTTAAATACGAAATGAAGATGTTTCTAGCAGTTCCCAACATTTTTGGCTTCATATGAAGATTGGATATTCACTGTGGAATTTTCCATTCTTGAAACATCTAGAGTGCTAATGTTTTGTTCTGTCTTTTAGACAAGTCAGCTGGATGAGATAGAGATATTCCAGTTGAGCCTCAAGCTTTTTTAGAGCGCAATATTGTTTCTTCTTTTTTTGTTTAACCATACACTTGGTGGAATAATGATCTCAACTGGGCTAATTTATGGTTTTTATGCGGAGGAAAATACGACGACCACATTAACCGCATATAAAGTTTAGAAATATAACCAGTCTCTTTATATTGCAGTGTTTCAAAATGAAAATCTTATTTATACTAAAACAATATAAAGGTTTGACTACAAATCAGAGTAATTCTGCAAAGTTTGTTCCAACTGGCTTCATATTCAATATGTGACGTTCTGTACTAGAGTTAGATGGCAAAAAGTAAGAGATGGTTAACCAGGAGGCTCATCAAAAGCCACTATTAAACCTTGGAAATTTCCAATGAACCCAAGAGTTAACGAGGCCAAAAAAAATTTGGAAGACAATATGCACTTTTGGAAAACAAAAGTGGCTTACATCGCCAAGTTCACTAAGATACACTAAAAAGCTTGGCTTACAGGTCAAAATACTAGAGCTAGTTAGGTACCCTGTAAATTCACCAAAACCTAAAGTAGATGTACAATTTGTTCAGTAGAGCCAGTAGGTTGGTCGAGAGGTCTATCTTCGTGGTATTTTCATTAGCTTTTGCCGGATTCAGAAGGGTCATTGAGATGCAATATCAACTGTCTCATCTTCATAACCTTTGGACTTCCCACTCACTGTCTTCCTATTCACCTTCTTCCCAATCTGAAAATAAGAAATCATTTAAGACAACTTAAACTTGACAATCAACTCCCTAAATACATAGCACAGCAGGCAAAAAAGCACAAAGGTCAGGGCACAGCTAATTTAATTTAACCCCTTCAGTTTCATGGGACCTGGTCAATATTTGCATTATCTTTTTTCCCTGCAGATAGCCCCGTATATTAGAATCCTTGTGCAACTGGTGCAACCTCCCTGATCTAAGTCTATGTACAAGTACAAAGGTAGCAAACATGGGATAGTAATTCCAAAAAGAATTAGATATATGAATTAGCCACCTTCAACTGTAAGTATCTGCTGTCTCCTTTACCCTCAAGGAAGCTTTCAGCATAATCCAGTGCATGGAGGGCCATCTTTGTTATCTACACCAGAAACTATGCGTTAGAGTAGTATTATAGCTTCAGGCGACACATAAGGTACTGAATGTTATCATATATTGCAGTATAAATGAAAGAAAACTAAAGCACTCACAATCAAATCACATTTTTCAATCTCATAATTAACTTCTCCAAGTGTTTCAAGTCACCTCAGGATCAAAGGCAACACTATCATGAGCAAGGCCTACTGCTACCAAGTTAAGCATAATTGTGAGGCGAAGCTAGTGTACCTCTAACTTGTCCTCCTTAGCCCGATGATTCCTGGGAAGGCGACGAAATTCCTTGGTCAAGTGGACGCACTCAGACATATTTTCAGTTGAAACGAAGTCAAGTGCAACCTTTACACAAGACTGCAAGTTGAATAAAGAAGATTAAAACAACATTCAAATGGAGAAGCACAAAAAGGTGACATCCCAAATAAGGACAGAAATGCTGAACTGACTAGAGGGAAATTTGTAACACAAAGTAGTTACAGCATAATGAACCCAACTCTATATCAGACCCTTAAGAGACTTAGATAAAAAACATCTTGTGAGGCAATAAAACCTTAAGATTCCTGACTTGATGAGGACAGCCAGCGGGAATAAAAACTGCATCGCCGAGTTTTTGAACAAATGTCCACGGTTCAACTCCTACATCATTAAAATAAGCATTCTCGTAAAAAGAAAAAAAGGGGTTAGAGAATGCAATAAAACTCGCTAGATATTCAACTAACCAAACTCTTCCTTTAGCTTCTTTTTATGACGTGAGTTCAAGTAAAAAGCTTGGTCATGAATGGGATGAGAAACCTGGGAAATAATAGAACACCAAGCCACAGTAAATAAAGCAGTTAGTAACAGACTTCAGTGCCAAAAAAGTTCAATAGCTAACAACGAGCAACTCCATAGCTAAGTGTGGAAAGAGAGCAAAAATGAATCATATCAAGATGCTATATGCATGCAGATTCAGATTCAGAGTTGGAAATATCGTTCAGCCATGAGGCAAAATCTTCTTACTTTTCTACTTTTGACTCAAGCTGGGAACTAATACTGAGTCGGCAGGCAGGGCTTTAACCCATTCAAAAAGAATGGGCATAAACAGAAAATGCAACCAACTCGTAAAAATTCATTCTTTCAAGTTTCAACATGATTTGTAGTCTCAAGTAGATAATGATACGGAGCAACCTGTTTAACGGGTTTATTGTTGAGGTGCCTGAATTCTTTATAGTGGTTTCTAAGATATTGTTGCAGCTTGGGTACATCCTGTCGTCTAAATATATCCCAGAGTGCACCACCTTCCACTTCTGCTAAAGAACTTGTCAGGTGATCACCTGAATTCAGAAAACGGTCCAAGAACTTAACTTCCAATTACACTGAAATACAATTGAGGGAAACTACAGCAAATGTTTTAAGCTAACCGAAATTGTCATTTCCTGTTGGTCCATATTCCATTTCACTTACGGACTCTGGCTCATGATTGACACCTGTTTCTGTAAAAGAATCTTAATCAGTTCCTAATCTATGTTAACATACAATAAAATCACGCAAAAGAAAGTCGTCAAGCTCACCAGGAGAGCTTTCATTTTTCTTGCTTGTTTCTGCAAAATCTTCCAGTGATTCACAGGTATTTCCTGACAAGCCACATGATTTCCCTTCAGAAGCATTCGGACAACCATCAGCACAGGGTGAAGTGCCATGTGTTTCCGAGGTTTCTGGCTTCTTTGTCTCGACCTCTTTATCACTAGCACATTTCATACCAAGTTCTTTTTCATCTTCAGAATCATAAAGATTCTTGAGCTTCTTGATCTTATCAAGCCGATTCGTTCCTAATTCCACCTTAGCAGTGTGCATCAAGATGTTCACCTGATCATGTAGGGTATGAATTGTGAGAATAATTTATTTATGAAATCAAAGTTAACAACAAAAAAACACTTGAACACAATAAAGAAGCACAAGGTATAAGCTGCCGAAAACCAACAGGAAAGACAATCCACCAATCACACTGACATTGTTAGTTAGCTCCTGAGTTTTTTGCCAAGACCCATCAGAGTAACCCGAGTAGGAACAGCACCTTTTTCTTTTCAATATTTCTTGAGGTGGGTAGGAAAATTATCTGACAGGTTGACATGGCCTAATTTCCCCACATATAACTCCCCATGAGAATTGTCATGCTATTTTTCTTGTTATACTGAATAAACCTCAGTATAATATTTACCACCTTCCCGACAATCTGAGCCATGTGCAGCAATAATGCAGAAAAATCTTTTGATACTAGATGAGACACTTTACATCTCAAATCCAGACAAGACAAACTCACAAAAAAAAAAAAAACTTGAAATGTGAAACGAAAGAGACAAGACGAGATGAACTGTAATACTCGACAACTAAAAAGTGAAGTTCACACAACCAACCATCTTGCCAATTGTATTAGTAAGGTTAGCTCCATTATGCATAACGGAAAAAATAATGTTTCCAAGCTTTTTATCCTAAAAACCGCATTAATTGCCAAAAACAAATCCCCCAAAGCTAGAAGCCAATCTTTTTTGGTAATCTTTGGCGTATGAAAGAAGGATATTAAACTAAACAGCAAAGAAACATTCACTGGTACCATACATACCGCATCAGACATGTCACAATGAAGCTTTGTAACAGAATCTCCACGACCAAGCTCTTCTGGGAAGCCATAAGCTATATATGTCTTTGGTCCCATATCCGGCTTCAACACTTCAGATGGCAACTTTGCCGCCACATTAAGTATTCCTGAATCTGGATGTGTATATTCTTTAAAAGGCAAGGCACTGAGGAACTCTGAACAGTGGCGAGGCAGCCGCTTGCCAAAGTGAGTCGAGGGAGGCCAATCCTTCAGCTTCAGCATTTCAGGCCAGCCATCACGGTGTACACGACCTTCAGTATACCCTGTAAAGAATTGACGAACACCTATCTCAACCTGTAAGTTGAAAGGCACATCAATTTAAACATATAGGAGCCATAAAATAAGTCATTTCACAACAATCAATTCAAAATCCAAAAGCATATACAAAACACATGTCCAGAATGTCAAATAAAGTCTATAAATAAAGCAAGTAAACTGATCCTAAAATTCAATCGTTAATAAGATCATGTTACTAGTTTTTTCATGCATGAGATTCACATGCAAAACAGCAAATAAATGGCAACTTCCAGATAAAAGTATCTGCTAAAACCCTTTTTTTTCCATTTTCCCCCTTATTCTATCATTAAAAAGAACGTTAGTACTTATACAAAATGCAATATCTTATCACCGCTGTACCCGGTAAAAATAACTATCTTTATTTAAGTGAGCCATACAAAACTTGTTTGCAGAAGATCATGCATCCTAGTTGTAAGGGCATTGAACAACTCAAACCACCAACCCATGAGTGAAATATCAGCCAAAAGATACTCACCTCACACCAATCAAGACAATCAACAGCAGAGTCTGAGTATCCTTCCTTAGTTGTAAGCTCACGAACTGCACGCCACAAGACCATTGGATCCCAGCTCAACCCAGGTGTTAAATCTAGAACATCGCTGACAAGGACTGGTTCTCCCCTACTCCAGTGTCTCTGGAAGTGCTCCAGATCCCCCTGCTTGAGGTCCTTTGCAGAGGGGTAATAAAGGTGATTGTCACCTGCATCATTTCTAAAAGCAGCCTTTTTTAAGCTTCTCTTTCCAGCATCAACACCATCATTGTTTTCAAAACAAGGACACTGATCTGGAGCTTGACAGTTGCTGACAAGGTGATTGGTTTCAATCGTATTTTTCACTTTCTTTTTTAACTCTGACATGTTGCCTTCAGGAAAAATGCATTTGAGCACCAGTTCGTGATACCCACAGCCACCCCTTCCTAGAGGAGGACAAGGAATTTGACCATTTTCTTTTGCTTTCCATTCAGGAAGTACACTTGCCTTCTGAGAGGCTGAACCGCTGCTTGACACTGATTGGCTTTCAGGTTCTGAAGGCCCACAATGTTCATTGAGTGTCCATTCTTTCTTTTGTTCAACATTCTCATTGATATCTTCACCCTCACTTCTAACCAAGAAGCCATCACGTAATTCTTGACAGCAAGTCAGACAAAGATCATAGTTGCGACATTCTGGACAGCTTCTGTGAAAATCAACTATTGAGGTACTGCAATTGTCACTGCAACATCGTAATGGAAAACTCTCAGGTCTTCAGACAATGATAAAGCAGTAAAAAACAAGGAGGAAAAGCAGTAATCACAGAATAGCCATACCAAATGAAACGCTCATCCGGGGAGCAATTAATTCTCTCGACCTCTAGCTCAGATGACAAAACACCTGCACAAAACCATTATGATAAAGGAGATCAACTTTTGAAGAACCCTTTAAAGTACAAAAACACCATACTGTTTCATCTTCCCTTCCCTTCTACACACATTACCTTTTCTCCTACATTTTTTGGCAGACAAAAAGAGTCCAAGACAGTCTCACGAAACATGAAATTCATAATATCACACTTCAACACAGAAAAAAGTTCAAGAAGTAGACATCATAGCAAATGAGCATATAGAAACTCCACCACGGGAGACCTAAAGATGAAAATTACAGCGATACCTCGAATTTTAGCCTCGGCTTCTTTTTCCATCATCTGATCATGGTAAAACTGCTCCAGGACTGGGGAAAGTTTGCCTACCAAAAACCTAAGAAGGTGTAACTTTTCATCTTCGTTTTCTGGGATACCAGAGTAAACGGTAAGCTGCAACAAACATACAGATTAAAGTAACTTTCATCTGCAATATACACAAAAAAAAAAAAGCAAATAAAAAATAAAACAAAATTACACAAACATTTTCTGCTGAGTCTTTGCGTAAGCAAGCCTTGCAGTTACAGATTCCACGACAATAAGGACATGCTTCTGCAACATCTTTAAATGAAAGCTCGGGGTACCTGCATTACAGAGAAAACCTGAAATTTAAAGACTGCAGGTCGTTCCCATTTGACAGAATAAAAGATAAATACATAATACAAGAAGCATGTGAAGTAAATAAGTAAACAAACTTCTCACAAGCATGCTATCATTGCTATGTACCTTGCAACGTATTAAATCGGAGAGGATCAAGATCATTTAAGCTCATTTACTCAAATAGAAGCAAAAAGTACGTGAGACATCCTCATTTCCATATGTAACAGCAAATCATAATCCATTTTACACATACAAGTTAACTGTTCAGTTTATGAACAGAGAAAAGTTAAGCTTTCATGAACAAGTATAATTAGCTTATGTGAAAAGTATTATAAATGCCTCACCACTTTTCAAGGCAATTCTCACAATAGCGCCTATTCCTATTTGCCTCCCTTTCCTTGAGGCACCTTACAACTTTCCTGTTGCTGTACTGGCATTGATGACACATCAAGCCATCATCTAGTGGATCCTGAAAATTTTAACAATGCAGAATGAACAAATGCCACCAGTAAGTTTAACTCATACAAATATTTGAAAAGATGGGGAAAACTTACATCAGTGCCGAAGTATTTCTGTCTAGGATTAACCTTAGTTTCTCCATTATTATGTATCTTTACATCCTTCCTCTTCTCTCCTTCTTTCACAGTCACCTTTGCTTTCCTTGTAGACCTAGACAAAGAATCAACACCATCTTTGTTTTCAACTTGAAGCCTCCCGTGTGCCCTGGATATTTCTTTGCCTCTCTCAACTACTTCATCCTCTGTATCCTCAGACGACTCAGTCACTTTGTGATTTGATTTCTCTTCATTCTTCTTGTTGCGAGACTTAACCTCCCTTCTCTCATATACCTTCACTCCAGTTCCCCCCTCAACCCTAGAAGATTTCTTCATGCCATCAACCAGCAATTTACAATTCATTTCAGCACGTTTTCTAAGACTGCCAACATCCGCGTCATCATATTTACTGTCAGTCTTCTTCTTATAATTATTGTTCAGCTCCTTTTTCAAGGGAACAGTTTTCTTATGTCTCTTGTTGCTTATGGCAAAATCTCCCCCCTCCTCTTCCTTCTTCTCAGTTGTCTTCACTTTAATTAAGGGCTCATTCTTACGAGACTCCTTAGCCCTTCTAACCAAAGTTCCCCTTCCCCCTCCCCCATTGATTTCCCCACTCCCATATTTTCCTGTTTTGGTCGCCTTCAGATCCTTCTTTTCGCCTCTTTTACCCAATTTTATATCCTCTTCCTTCTCATCAGTATGATCGTCGTCACCCGTTTTTTCGGAATCATTATCCTCCTTCACAATCGACCTTTTACTCCGAGCTTTTTTCTTAGGCACCACCTCTTCCGACGGCGCAGCCTCACTGTCACTTCCTCGGAACCTCTTACCACTCCTACGACCACCGGGAACCCCAATCTCTATCCCCTTACCAGCAGGAGCACCATCGTCTTCACGACTGCAAGTAGCTGCAGAACTCTCGAAATCCTCCCCATCACCGGAAACCCTACGAGGACTCGGAGGATTATAAACTTTTCTCGGTTTGCGTTTTAAAGTAATCTGAATGTGATGTTCCTCGCAGTAGGACCGGTCGTGGATCCTCCACCCCTTACACTGCCAGGACTTGCCGTCACTCCTGCGGCAACGTAGCTCGGGCGGCGGCACCGGGGACGCCGGCATAGTGGCGGCGCCGGATTTCTTCTTCTTCGCCAGCGTTGGGGTTGAAGGGCGGGAGCGGAGTTTGGGGGGTTTTCTTTTTAGAGGGAAAATGAAGAGTTTTTATCGGAATATGAAAGAGCAACAAATATGGTGGTTTTTGGGAAGTGGTGGAGCCGGGTGGGTTGGAGGTGTTTATACTCTATGAGTATATTTTTTTGAAATAATATAATTTCGATATTTGTAAGAGGAATATATTTGCTCTGACTTTACGTTAATTTTTATTTTTTTTTACTGCCTACTTTTAGTTTAATTAACAGTGGTGGGGGCCACGATAGAAACCAACTGTACTGTTGATGGTAAAAGTTTTCCCAGTTCTCCATAACAACTCAAATTTGACTGAGATCACACTTCTGAATTGCAACTAATCTTTATATTGGTGGTTCATTCAAAACCAACAGTTTCCCATAGCGGTTTTCGTTTTAAAAATCATTAAAAAAAAAAGGCTCTGTTTGTTTGATTTTTTAAATTGCTTTTTCAGATTATTTTAATAATAACTGTCTCGTCTTATTATATATTTTTATATTTTCAATACATGTTTTTATATTTTTAATATAAAAAATATCTAAAAACATACAAAAAAAAAAAGCGAAACAAACATAAGTATTGAAAAATGTGAATATTGTATGTTAGTTTCGGAACATATAACGTGACAATGTATATTTATTTCAATTTAGATGGAAAACTGAAATGTAACTAGCTAAAAATTTACATGTAACTTACAATTTTGTCAAATATATGTTTCTAAAAAAAACACAGAAATCTTAGCTAAAAGTTCAAAGTTTAAACACCAAAATGTTTCCCAAGATTTACTGAAAATTTTGAATATAATTTTAAAAACATATTGAACTGTGAATAAAAATTATTCAAAAGAAAATACGTATTATACTAGTACTGCATTTTTATGTTATTTTTTTGAAACAAATACTAGTACATGTTTGAAGACTGTGAGGGTTTGACACTGATTTGACATGTTTCAGGCCACTGTCACGCTCCTAGTGTACTGCTTCCTTCTTTACTTGACCCTATCAGGTAGGTAGTACTTTTCAATTTTTGAAAATAACCTCTTATACACAGTATTCTCCCATTCTGTTTGTGTATGGTGGCAAATAATAATAGTAAAAAAAAATTGTCCACGAAACAGTTAAAACCAATCACGATTTTTCCCACATAACTAGTATGTTTTATTAGTGTTGCAAATTTGATGATAAGAGCCATTTAAACTTTCATTACTTATAAATGTGATCTTTCATTTTCATCAGTTCAGGGAAAAAGATAAGGATTATTATTATTATCTTGTAATTATAGTCAAATCCTTTCTATTTTTTTCCCCCCTCACAAATAACCGTAGTATACAACAACAAATCCCCTTGATTAAGGGGAACTGGGGAAGTCTTGTTTACACGATCCTGAAGTGCATCGGATGACGAGATACCGCAGAATGTCGTCCTTTGTTTCAATCTACCACCTTTTTTGGCGCTTTTTTTTTATTTTCCCGCCTTTTTCCAAAACCCATTCCAATTCCAAGTTTCCAACTTCCTCGAGCTGGTGAAGCAATAAATAAAGTGGTGACGATAACAGTAGTCTCTTAACTGCTGTCCAGCTTTCGAGTTCTACTTCCCAAAAGTTTTTTCCGCATGATCTCTTCATCAAATTTCCATTTTTTTAGCATCATTTTGCAGTACTACTTGTTATATTTGCTGAAGAGAGGAGGACCACCATGGAATCTTGGGGTTACCATGCAGGAATAGGGACGATAAGGGATATGATTGAACAAGCCCAGGAAGAGTTGCAGATTTTGGAAGCTGAGCATCCCAATAGGTTTAGCTATTTGAAGGTTGAACTTAAGTCCTTCATCTCCCATTTGGAGTCCCAAAGTTTGCTTCTTCCTGCTACTAAACATCATGTTCCCAACTGTATTAATGAAGTTGTTGATCCTCTTATGGGTTCCAGATCACTTCATGTTGCTTCCTCTGTCTCCACTCAAGGTTAGTACTACTTTATAAACTCTCTGTTCACTTGTGCTTTGTTCATTTGACTGCTATAATGAAGTTTCGTGTGCTTTTTGAATGTTTTGCTTTGTGAGTGATCATAGAGTCATCAGCAGGCCAGAAATGGAAGAAAGTTCGGCTTAATAATGGAACAGCTTTGGAAAGCAAGAACGCTAATAAATTACAAGAGCAGAAAGCTCAGAAGATTTACTCCATCAAGAACAGAGATGGTGGAGGCAGCAAAAGGAAAGAGAGGATCGATGCTGTAATTGATACAGCTCGTGCATGTCTTCACAAAATTCAACAATTGAAGACCAGCTTCGGTTGATAATAGAAGTTTCATCTGTGGATACAGAATTAGTATGTAGACTGATCCTGTGCTGAACTTTCGGACTTAAGGATCTTTTCTCAATAGTTTTGCATTGTAGTAAGGACTAAGGAGAAGCTGTGTAATTCCACACAAATTATCCAGTGCCAATCTATGCTTGCTAATGCTAGTTCAATATCTAATGCCATTGTTAACCACATGGAAGAATATACAGAACTTTACGACGAAACCCTAGAATAGAAACCCAAAAAAACAACAGAAGTAGTGTAACATCTAAGAAAGATTTAAGAAATTTATCATTGAACATAAGTTAAACGCGGAAAGAATAGAACTCACTAATGCCTGCTCATGCATCTCACAAACCAAACGAAAACTTCAATACAGAGATAATTGTCTAATTCCCAATTATGTTGCACCAGTATTTCTAGAGTTAGTCCTCTAGGCTTGTCTGAGACTAGGAATTGATGCCACTTTAGCAAATTGAAAAACCTCCACAGATGCACTTTGCTTGAGGGTTCACGACTAGACGTTGGAGACTATTCAAGATGCTGAACCTTTAAGCTGTGGACCAGAAAAGGCGTCCTGAGCCAATGAAGCTTGCTTCCTCAACCGCCATGTGTCAGAATGAGAGAAAGGACATTCTACACCGGAAACCAATAGAGAGTAGACATTAAAAGGTATAGAGAGAAGTTGAACAGAACTGAAAAGGATGAGTGATCTAAAAATTGCAAGCATGAATGTATTACAAACAATCTGAAATGACCAAGGCAACATTAACCTAGAAGAAATACAATCAAATGACAAAAGGATATGCCATATCCATCCTTCAGGATTGGTTATATAAAGCATCAACATCCAAATATCTCAGAGACAGATAGAAATTCGATTACAGTTGCACTTGAAACAAGAAACCAATGTGCCAAGTGCTAACCTCATCAACAAGGAAGTGTTTTTGTAATTTTTGGGGTAAGTAACTCTCGAAGAAGCTGGTTCTCATTTTCCATAGCAAGCAATGGTGAAGCTTTCACATGGAAACAATAGAATTCAACCTTCCCACATGTCAATCATTCCTTCCCACGTAACCCAGTCTCTCCATTCAAATAATATCAATCTTCGTACTCAGACTAAGATTCAGTTATATCAATCCATCCTCTTCATCCCTTTCGGACTCATCAGACCTGTCATCATCAGAAATCCCCTCCTCCTCTTCAACCTTACCAGCACTCTTTAAACTAGCATTACTTCTTTTCCATCCACGGTGACCCATGCAAACAAGATAAAGAAGCTTCCTTCTCGCTTCATAAATGGAGTTTGGCTCAATCAAACATCCTCTCTCATATGCTTCCCTTAGAAACACCGTATGTCTCTTCCCTTTAGTTGACAAGTAGAACATCCCAGGATGATCTAAGAACAAATCCCTGATATTCAAATCAATCCCAAACCACCTCCTAAATTGACTGATCTTCTCAACCTCCACCATTTTCTCCACAGTCAAGCTTAAGAACTCATGAACTATCCCAACAGCCCTTTTCTCCTTTCTCTTCATCACATACTTACTCCTCTTCCCCTCAACCGGCATTGGATCATATGGACCTATATAAGGCAACCTTTGCCATTCTGTAACTTTAGTTTTGAAAGTCTTGTTCAATTTCATGCCTGGTGGAAAACTATGCTTAAAGCTATATCTGATTTCATTGCTGTCCACATTGCAATCCTTCCTACAGCACTCCGTCACTCTCCAATTTTCAACTTCAGAAATCAAACTACTCCTATCCACATCAGAAACCAACTTTAAAACATGAGTATTAGGCTCATTACCAGGATCCAGAGCAAAAAGCTTCGGGTTGTTCGCAATCACCGAGTCCTCAAAGTCATCCGGGAGACCAAGCTCTTTCCACACTTTGAAAATGGCCCTCAAAGGAACAGTCTTGGAGGGAGACATTGCGAGAATTCGGACCAGCCTCTGGACAACAAGCGGGATTGAATCGTTGATGGCCTTAGACTCTTCATCAAACACATCCAAGGCAGCTTTTTGGAAGGTACAGTATGGCTGAAATTGGGTGGGGTGGTTGAAAATGTGGAATATGTGGGGGTATTTACGGAGGAAAGCGGCGGCGCCGCGGTTAAGATGAAGTCTCTGCGACAGACGGTTGAGAAACTCGAGGGAAACGGAAGGGGGCTGGTTTAGTGTTGAGGTAGGAGGAGGGGTTGTAGTAGCCAAGATGAGGTCTTGAATGGAGATCACTTTTAGGAGATTTTTATACTTCTCCATGAGCTTCTCGAAAGTCGGGTCTCGAGCTCTGGATGCGACATACTCGGCAGAGGTGGTTTTCCGGCGGAGGAAAACTGCTCCGGCGGTGGTAGCGCCGGCGGGACGGTTAAGGGAAGTGGCGGCGATTCTCTTGATGGAGGCAGTAGTGGCCATTATTGTAGCGGCAATGCCACCGCGGACAGTATGACCTTTTTATTTCACTTTGTTGACTATAGGCGTGGTCATCAACAACGCTTTGAGAAACACGCTTTAAGTTGTAGATATCACAAAAAATACTTCCAATATGAATTTCACTATCATCCTTCATTTTGGTCATACATTTCATTTTAGTGCCTTTTATTAGGAAATTGATTACGTGTTATGATAATGATGA